AAACATCCTTACATGCTTTGACTAAAATAATTTTCTGAGGATTTACTGAACAGGTCGGTGCTGGATGCACAGTGGGTAGGGGGTCTGCCTTGCACGCAGTCAACATGGCCAACCCGAGTTCGATTCCTCCGCCCCTCTCGGAGAGCCCGGCAAGCTACCGAGAGTATTGGATATGCCAGACACAGTAACAACAAAGTCTCCATTGGAGACGTTACTGGGCCCGCTCGAGCAAATCGATGATCAATGGGAGGGCCTTTGTTCTGTTACTGTCTGCACATTGAAGTCGGTGGGCCTTTATGAATCTTCTCAGTTGGGTTTGCTATGCTAAGGTGAATCTTTGTAGTTAGCCACCTGGGACTCTCAGAGGAACTAGGCTGGAAATTGTCCTTTTTCCCACATTGTCTGTCTTCACCCAGTGATTGAAAGAGTGTAAGTAGTGTGAAGTTTGATAAGGAGGTGAAATAGCAGAGATTAAGTATGGTGATGAGAGGTTAATCTCACCTGGTAGGGTGTGACAGCAGGCAGAGGTTCCCTCCCCTTGAGTCTTCCTCCCCCCACAAAAAAAAAGTAAAAGAAATGTGATTAAAAAAACTTGTTATTCAAGAAAATTATGAAGAAATAATAAAGGGCATTTAGTACTTATCATGATTGTAGTTCTTAAGTTAAGGGAAGTTATGACATACAACTCTTTATTCCCATTAGTATATCTGATTTAAATTTTTTAAAAGAATATAAAGAATTGAGAGTAGAGACATAGCATTAGGGTAAGGTAAATGCATGCAGGTGACCTGGGTTCTATCCCTGGTACATTCTCCAAGCGTTATCAGATGCAGTTTTGGAAAGCCTTGAACATGTTTGAGTTTGACCATAGAACCACGTAGTTTTCTGAGTGGCCTGTGTAACCTTAAAGCAACACTGCATTCTTAGGTCCTTACATGAAAACGCTGACCTAAGTTGACGATGAGTCTCTGGGTCAGGCTTCTGAGCATTCTGAAGTCACTGTCACTGTCACTGTTCTCCCGTTGTTCATCAATTTGCTCGAGTGGGCCCAGTAACGTCTCCATTTTGAGACTTGTTGTTACTGTGTTTGGCATATCGAATATGTCATGGGTAGCTTGCCAGGCTTTGCCGTGTGGGCGAGATACTCTCGGTAGCTTGCCGGGCTCTTCGTGAGGGGCAGAGGAATCAAACCCAGCTCGGCTGGGCCAGCTGCACGCAAGGCAAATGGCATACCGTTGTGCTATTGCTCCATGAGCATTCTGAAGTATATTTCAATAATGAGTGATCATGTTATAATATCTCAATGTCATTTTTATTTACATTTCCATTATAAAAGGTGATGATGAACACTTTTCCATATGTCTATTGATCATACTTCAATATGGAGATGTCTGTTCATTGCTTCCTCCCATTTTTGGATGGGGTTTTTAACTTCATTGCTGGTGAACTTTGTGAAGGCTTTATAAGTTTCAAATGTTAATTCTCTGTAGGATGTATTGTGTGCAGATGTCTTTTCCCATTCTATCAGCTTTTTTTTTTTTAAATTTTAGCTCATGGCTCTTTTGCCATAAAAATCTTTTAAATTTCATGTAAATCCTTTTTTATTTCTATTTTTATCTTTGCCAGTGGAATCAAATTATTTAAAACTCTGAAACCCATTATCTTGAAAGTTTAGCCAGCAGTTCCATATTTTTAGATGTACCTACAAAACACTAAAATAGTGATTAAAAAAAATCCACACCTGTGTTCACGGCAGCACTTGCTACAATAACCAGAATATGGAAAAGATCCAAATATCCAATCACAGGTGAATTGGAAGAAAAATTGTGGCACACAAAGAAATACTGTGAGTTTACAAGATCAAATAATGTAGTTTGTTGCTCTTTAGATGGAACTTAAGGGTAACATGTTAAGTAAAGTAAATTAGAGGGAGAAGGGTGGTATGAACTCACTATGTAATGTCAATGGTATTTAGATATATAAGATAATGGAATGTTTTCGAATGATAACAATTGACCCTAGATTGCTTAATGAAAAATGCCAAATAAGGAGGGACATGGGTAGTGGAATGAGAAGGTGAACTGGAAATAGATTACTTTTGGGGGCTTTTGACAATATTCTGGGATTGAGGTGAAATGAAGTAACTTCATCAAAACCATTAACTATAACTTTTGCATATTCGTGACTGAAAACTATAACTTAAAAAGGGTAGGGGTCGGAGGGTGCCTTGGTGGGTAGATGCTGACGCAGGACGTGGGTATGGCATTGGAACATTGTTTAATCCATTGTGTTATGTATTGTGAGTCACATTGCCCAAATGAAAAAGAAATGAAAAAAAAAAGATTATCTACTAGTATTTAAAAATAAGAAGAAGAACTGCAAGTGCAGGAAAGGGAAAGTAGAACGATGGCTTTACCTGGTCTCAGAATAGCCAATGTAGGAGAACATTGGGTTGTCCTTTCTCCCTGGCCAGAGGGAGCATAACTTTATTGGTTTGCACCTATCACTGTGCTCCCGAGGCACTCCTATTCCTTTGTTTATCTTTAACCTCTTCTCTGGGCTCTGCTTCCCCAGTTGGTCAATCCCTTTTTTCCCCAAATCAGATCTGTTGACTTGTAAGGTCAGATCCTTCTAAGGACTCTGGATTTGCATTAGTAAGTGAAATAATGCTTTTCTCTTCTCCTTATCTCCTTTGCATAGTTACTTAAGAGCAATGTCCTAGACACAGGGAGACAGTTAATGCTGTTTTTGTAACTTGGGAGTTAATTGACTCCTAGTAGTATTCACCCCTGGGTATCTGTTTTCTCTACTTAAGCCTCAGTCTCCCTTAGTTCCTAGCACCCCAAAAGCAGGGTTTCAAGAAGGGCCTGGATCGACTCAGGGTAAGCTGTGAGTTACTCTGGCATCGAAATGGGCCAGGCCAAGTGCCATAAGACTTAATTATAAGAGTATGATCATGGGGGCCAGAGCAATAACATAGCAGGTAGGGTCTTTGCCTTGCACACGGCCAACCCCGGTTCGATTCCCAGCATCCTGTATGGTCTCCTGAGCACCACCAGGAATGATTCCTGAGTGCAGAACCAGGAGTAACCCCTGTGCATCGCCAGGTGTGACCCAAAAAGAAAAAAAAAGAGTATGATCATGGACAAATTCTGTCATGATCCAAAGAGTGACAACTGGATTTGGACGCTTCTAGGGTTAGGAAAGACTAATCTGGCCTGAGCACTGTAGTCTGGGATCTATAGCAAGATGTCCCAGTAGAACCACCCTACACACTTAATGTATCTCTTACTGTGTCCCTACAAAATGACTAATATTAAGAAGTAGTTTAAGATGAATGTTTAAATGGTTGTTGGACTAAGGAAAGGAGAAATATACCTTCAGATGATATTTGACACTTGAGTGGGTCTCCTGGCTGTGGGAGATCTTTATCTTATCTTAGAAGAGCTTCCCTCTGAAGGGAGGGCTTTCACATGTTGACTGTGCTACCTCACTTAGGTGTAGTTGCTACCCACAATGTTGAGAGGGGGAGGACGAGACCAAGGTTGTGAGACGAAGCTCAGAGACACTAGCATGGGGGACAAGAGGAGACAGGAACAAGGGGCAATGTGAGACTGGTCTTGGGAGCTTAATGAGACTGGAACAGGCACCTGGGGAGAAAGTAATAGATGGCGACTGACACCAACCAGCCTGGTGGCCCTGTTCCCTCCTTCATGCATCTCTTGGCAGCGGCTGCAGTGGAGGTGGGGAAGTGGTTCATGGCCACAGAACACATGTGGCAGGCGAGAGAAACTACCACCACTACCGTGATCACTTATTTATTTTGTGATTACACAGCCTAGCCTCAGAAGAATGGCTAAATTTGGGCTTGTGAAGAAAAGAGGTAAAGTGTTTTCGGAAGAAAGCATAAAATTACTATATAAAGAAAAGGGAGAATCCTAGGTAGTAAGAATGAATATGCTATAGAACAGTTCGTGTACCACATCTCTCATATTACTGAAGGAAAAGTGGGGAGAAAGTAATATTATGACTGATAACATAGATAAAAATATAGACACATCAGAAAATATATGGGTTTTAATTTCTAATTTTGATAAACTTTTTAAAAGAATGATTCTTTAAACTAATTTTTCTTATAGAGACACTAATTGTATCTTACAGATGATTCTTCATATAAAGCAATTGACTACATATGTGATGGATTACTATGCTGTTGTGATAAAGGCAATGCAATTCGCTTCTACATAGACACATCTATAGAGAATTATGCTGAATGAAGTTAGTGTGAGTGAGATGGAGAGGTATCAAATAATCTCTGTCTTGGGTAGGATATAAAGAAAAATATGGGAATAACAGATGTCCAAAGGCAACAGAAGTTGAGAATCGGTCTTCTGTAGGACGTTTTCCATGACAAGTGGATGGGGGATAGAATAGGGTGTGTGTGTGTGTGTGTGTGTGTGTGTGTGTGTGTGTGTGTGTGTGTGTTTCAGGGTGTCTGGTGACAGTGGAGGCACTGAAACAGTGTTAGATGAAAGCAGACAGTGAGGTAGAGTATGTGGTGTTAAAATGTTATATGCATGAAACTCTACCATTAATTGGATTATAAATTGCATTGTCTGGGATAGAATAAAACCTTTAAAATCACAAACCAATGGTTAAATGTCTTTATCACTATTTCTTATGTGATGGTGGTATTTGGTTTATCAAAATGCTAATTTATGAATTTACATATTTAATTGCTCATAAATACATAGAAAGAAATAAAAATCATCTTCCATATTTTGCATACAGAATGATTTCAAATATGCACATTTATTACATAAAGTTAAATGAACTGTTAAAAATTTAACTGTAAGAAGTATCTATAATTTTATCTCTGAATATGTTCTAAGGCTAACATAAATACATATTTTATTTACAATAAAATGTAAATTATGGATATTCAAGCCTGGGTGTGAGCTTTTGAATGTGCTATAAATAATTTATTTCATTTGCTTCAGGTTACTGATATGATGCTTCAGGACACTGCCTATCCTCACTGGGGAAAGGCTGCAAGAGCTTTATGGAAGAAAGGACAAGTTAGGATCATTTTATTCTGGTAAGAGTTTTTTTTATGGATTTATTTATGTCTTGCCTCACTCATAAAATTACTTAAGTTGAATGTAATTGAACCTACATGTATTTCCATTTAGAGAAGCATGACATTGGACACATGCTCCACGAAAATGATTAAAAACCATTATTCTGATTATTTTATGAATAAATTTCTGCATGGATGATGTTGCCTATACACATTTAGAAGAAATATGTTTTGCTAAGATAGTGAGATATATGAGATTTTACCATAGGTAATTTGATTTTTGACTCAGTAAAAACAAGCTACAATTTTCATCAGTGAATCTGATATAAATGTCTTCAATAAATACTAAATTTCAAATATATTTGACAAGATATAATTTTGCTCTAAAGAAGTTACATAGAAAAAATCTCTTAACAAATAACATCTGGCTCATTGGCATTTCTTTATATAGCTTCCTTTTCAGTTCTAGCACCATCGTTGCAATTAAAAGTAATTCATGTATATAGAATTTTGTATTTTGTAGTATCATCAATATTTTAGTATTTATGTACATTTGAATAACTTAAGACAAAAATTTGAACAACTTAAATTGTAGTAACAGATACACATATTTTATTTAATATATAAAAGATACAAAATAATGAAAGCTATACTGTCACTGTCACTGTCCTCCCGTTGTTCATTGATTTGCTCGAGCGGGCCCAGTAACATAAGACTTGTTACTGTGTTTGGCATATCGGATATGTCATGGGTAGCTTTCCAGGCTTTGCCGTGTGGGAAGAGATACTCTCAGTAGCTTGCCAGGCTCTCCGAGAGGGGCGGAGGAGTTGAACTCGGGATGACTGGTGGGCCCTGTGCAAGGCAAATGCCCTACCGCTGTGATATCACTCCAATATAGAGATTATGTACTGTTAACTTTCCTTTTGTAATATAATAAATTTTATGTGTATCCTTAGATTTAAATTTGGGGAATTTATTTTTTTCATAGCAACAAAATGACAGAAACACAAATCATAGTAACTAAGACTATGGGAGGCCTCCATGTATTTAATCTATTTTTATCTTTATACTTCAATTAAATATCACTAGCTATATAGCATGGATTCACAAAATGGATAAGTGAATGTGGCACGGTGGCGTCTCTCTCACCTGCCATGTGCACTCAGTGGCTATGAGCTGCTTCCTCCAACCCAGCCTACAGCCACCAGCAGCAGATAAAGGAAGGAGGAACAGTGCTGCAAGGCAGTTGGTGTCAGTTGCTGTCTATTCCATTCTCCCACGTGCCTGTTCCAATCTCACTAAGCTCCCCGTTCCAGTCTCACACTGCCCCTCTTTCCCGTCTCCTTCTGTCTCCCGTGCTAGTCACTTTGCACTCTATCTCGCAGCTGGGCCTAGCACCCAACCTTCAAGAATTGGGGGTAGCAACTACACCTAGATCCAGGAAGCACAATGAACATGTGAAAGCCCTTCCTTCAGAGGGAAGCTCTTCTAAGATAAGACAAAGATTTCCTGCAGCCAGGAGGCTTACAAATACAAATCCAGAGTCCTTAGAAGGATTCGACCTTACAGGTCAACAGAGTCTGATTTGGGAATAGAGATCATTGGTTGGGGAAACAGAGACCAGGGAAGAGTTAAAGATAAATAGAGGAATGGGAGTGTCTCAGGAGCACTATGATGGGTGCAACCCAATAAACCTAAGCTCCCTCTGGAGGAAGGACAAACCAATGTTGTCCTACAATATGACATTTTCAACCCAACTTATAGCAGATAAAGAAAAGTAGATTTCCTTCAAAAATGTAAAAATTGATCTGATTTTGTAAATGTTTTTGCATCTCTTGTCCCTGAGTGAAAGCCTGTTTTGTTTTTTCTTTTTGATTTTTCAAAACTTTTTTTTATATTTGTGAAGTCCATATGTATCTTATCCAGACATAGTTAAAATAGCTATGCCAGAAATAGCTAGAGTCAATGTTTAGTGAGTGCATGATTTGCTCCAGGCTCTGTGTCAAATAGTTAAGATATGTGTATTTTAATCTTGTTCTGTAAGGGAGGTTGTAACTTTAGGCTTCTGATTCCAGCACTTATTCATTGTACTAGTGTTTCATCATTGCACTGTAGCATCTAGAACAGATTTAGTACGTAATCATTGCACTTAGCATGCAGAATAGAGGTGCACCCATATGAAAAATTCCAAAAGATTATCTTCAGCCAATTTCAGATGATCAATCTAGACAAGGCTGTGAGATTTTAAAGTATTTTGAACATTTATAATTTAAAAGAAGATATTTTCTTGTTGTAAAAGTATTTATAATGATATCTCTTTATTGAAGTCAGATTTAAAAGTGTGTGTGTGTGTGTGTGTGTGTGTGTGTGTGGGTGGGTGTGTGGGTGTGTGTGTGTGTGTAGTACTATACCACTATGGCATACTCACCACAGGGTGTCAATATCCTTCACCATGGTATTTGGGCCCTTTCAACTCTCCATCCACTTAGATAATCTCACTTCTGTTAGAATCTAAAATTTGTCTCTATTATATTGTTTTGCTTCTTTAAATACTACATACTAATTACATTTAAAGGTAAAGGTAAAGGCCCTCCCGTTGATCGTCGATTTTTCTCGAGCAGGCCCAGTAACGTCTCCATTGGAGACTTTGTTGTTACTGTGTCTGGCATATCGAATACTCTCGGTAGCTTGCCGGGCTCTCCGAGAGGGGCGGAGGAATCGAACTCGGGTTGGCCATGTTGGCCGCTTGTAAGGCGGACGCCCTACCCGCTGTGCTTATTATCTGGTATTTATCTTCTTTTGGCTTATTTTATTTACTTAGTATGATATTCTCCATTCTAACCATGATGTATCAAAAGATAATATTTACTGTTTTCATATTGCGGAGTAATATTTTGTTGTGTGCATATATACCACATCTTCTTTATATAGTCACCTGTTGTCGGACATGAGTTGTGTCCAGATCTTGGCATAAAACCTGATAATATTTTTTGAATTAGTGGGGTTTTGAGTGTGTGTGTGTGTGCATATGTGTGTGTATCTGTGTGTGTGTCTGTGTGTGTCTGTGTTGTTTGAAAAGATTTTATTTATGGTTTTATTTTTATTTTTTTTCTTTTTGGTTCACAACCAGCAATGCTCAGGGGTTACTCCTGGCTCTGCATTCAGGAATTAATCCTGGCGGTGCTTGGGGGACCATATGGGATGCCAGGGATTGAACTCCAGTTGGCTGCGTGCAAGGCAAATGCCCTCCCTGTTGTAGTATCACTCCAACCCCTATTTATGGGGTTTTAAATAAAATCAAAGACTATTTACAGACTACGTACATGTTACCCACTGGAAAATATGTGTTCCATTTTGGTTATTGAAGTAAAGGAATGAGAAAGTAGTGTGAAAGCTCGTGATGTAGAAAAAAATTTTGAAAAGGAAACCTTTAATAAATTCCTTGTGGTTATGTGCAGTGGCTTAATTCTACAGCATAATTTTTTTTTTAGTTTTTTATTTTTTGGCTTTTTGGGTCACACCCGGTGATGCTCAGGGGTTACGTATATACTGATCCTGAAAGGTTTAAGAATCTTTTTCTTAAAGATAAATGAAGAATTAAGCTAAAAAGTACCTTAATACTGCTTCCCTGTTACATGCCATCTTTCCAATTGCTGAAACCTGCATCAGGGACATTGAGCCTAAGAACAATTCTCAGATTCATAAATCCTTGAAAAAATTACCTTTAATACAGGTTTTTAATACTCTACAGTTTTTCTGTGTAGCAGTTGGTAGAATAGAATTATTGCTTTTCTTTTTTGTTTATTGCTTTTTGGGTCACATCAGGTGATGCTCAGGGTTAAGTCCTGGCTCTGCACTCAGGAATTACTGCATGCAAGACAAATGCCCTACCCATTGTACTATCACTGTGGCCCAAATTATACCTTTTCAATCTTAAAATTGTTGGTAGAATGGAACATTCCCTGAATCACGAGGTCTAAATCAGACTGATTTACTAAGTTTCTACAGATTAAGTTGCGTTTTTAAAGTCCCTTGAGTTTCAATTAAGTGAGATAAATGCACAAATTTAAGATAGAGACAATAAGTTCTGTCAGAGAGCAGGTAACATTTAGCAATGTTAAGTGACTTGATCTTCTTCAACAGTGTGTGAAATGTCTTCCTATCTTTTAATTCTTTGTGAAGTAAAATTGTCTTATTTAAAGATATTTTCTTAATAAAATGGGAGTGCAGAGAAAAATACATATGTTAGGAGAAAATCTGAGTTATCTCAGAGAGAGAGAAAGCCTCAATTTTTTAATTATTTCTTACGATTTATGTCTCTGTTCCTATCATACCTAGTAGATTCAAAATGTAGGTCTTTCATATTAGAAAACACAAACACTGTCCTCCCATTGTTCATTGATTTTTGCTCTAGCGGGTCCAGTAATGTCTCTATTTTGAGACTTCTTCTTACTGTGTTTGGCATACCGAATATGTCATGGGTAGCTTGCCAGGCTTTGCCGTGCAGGCGAGATACTCTCGGTAGTTTGCTGGGCTTTCAGAGAGGGACGGAGGAATTGAACCCAGCTCAGTCAGCTGGCTATGCGTAAGGCTGTGCTATTGCCCCAGCCCTTCATATTAACAAAATATCAAATATTGACATACATTTTTATGATCTATTATCATTGGTAGAATTCTGTGGAGGTAATTTATCTTCATCATAAAAATATTTACAAAGTACGCACAATGTAAGTATCTCAGAGTAAAATGTTGACATTATGATATCTTTTACTGACTTGAGATGCTCCTCGAGAAAAGTGTTTCTAAACCAGTTTTTTGTGTTTTGATGGAGAATTTATATTTTCTATTCAGGTGGCAATCTCATATCAGCAAAGCTTTTGTTATTGGTTAAATCACTGTGATTATAACTGTCTGTCTGGTTTTTGCAGATTGAATGGGAGAACAAAGTCCCAGTGTCACCAAGGTACAGTGGGTTGTTTAATCCCCGTGATTCACTAGGTTCACATCCAGTTTTGTGA